TACTGCATAAAGTAATATCCAGGACACAGTCGCTTGTACTCACGGCTGGGAAACCACTTTTTTTAATTTTGAAGGGAGACTGCATTCAGGGCTTACCGAGCTTTTAATTATAAGGACATTTCGGGCATTCCAAGGATCATTACGCGAACTATGGCCGACAGGCTTGAACAGACGCACATGTGCACTACGTTAATGCCATTCGCTTCTTTCCCCGGCACTCCTGTAACCTACGCAATAAATGCCAAACGCGCAGACTCGAAAGTCTAACTCAATGCCTAGAATTAATTCATCCAGACGTGCACATGAGTCCAGATGGTTACAGCTGTTCATGTACCAAATGATGCAACGTGCGCGCTGCAAATTACACTCAGGTCGTGCAACTGGGTGCAAACGCATATATTCTGAAGCCAAAACATATAACCTAAACAAGCCAACTTGCTAGACTATCTGGGCTCCAGAACCACTTGAAAAGAAAGCAGGTTATGAAGGATTCTCTCTCTCCGTTAACTCTCCCACGTTAACGACAAGGCAGGGACAACTGGTCTAAAAATGGGATCGGACGCACGGACCGATCTAGTGTGAAACTCTTCTTCAAACTCACGCTAAAATCAAATGCAGAATCAGTCCTCAGCACAGTGTAACGCAGGAAGCAAACATGAATCGATGATGATCCGAACCGACAAACACCGAAAGTGTCTTCTTGTTTCCGTAAACATTAAGGCTATCAGACCACGAAGCAGTTGACAAAATTCTCCGATTCACCCAAAAAAAACCATACAAACTAGATCAACGCAAGAATGCTTCTGTTGTCTGTCAGACAGCTCGGATTAGGTGCAACAATAAGAATGCTCTCCATTCGCTCTGTAAAAATGACCACTGCATTACACCGATAAAACCGCAAAGAGCATTGAACAGGGATAACTACCTCTATAGAACAGGTGTCAAAATTAGGCGAAGTCCAAAGAAACTTTCCATTTACACCTTTTGCAGCCTGGCGGCGTGAAAGATGACTTTACTTTCGGCAGGTCCGCCAAGACCGGATGCCTTTCTAACTTAGGTGTCAAGTTAATAACCACCTCGCCTCCACAACAGTGAACGTTCGTCTCGCTCCAGTATGCTTTGTTAGGTGCGATGTTCCTTTCCAAAAAATCGCTGTAACACCAACAAGGCCCCCAGAAAGGATGTCAGTTCAGGTCAACTGCATAGAACGTGTGTCAATACCGGCGCCCTGGTTTTATCCGGCGATTGAACAAGCATTGGGAGATGAAAGCGCTCCTGATGATTATGGTCCGGACACCTTTGTGTAATTGTAATTTGTAAGGAGACAAAAAAGTACGAGAACGATCA